TGTAACGTTTACGATACGAGAAACAATTACTTAGGTAATTTACTTGAAGGGTAAACGGCTACACGATATGTGTAAATAATTGAGTGAGTAAACGATAATTTTAATGTTAAGGAGAAAAAGAGACAGCAATAGATTTTCAGTTGGTTGCATTCGCTTTTATTATCTTTTGTATCGTCATATGTAATTAGGTACTTTCGTTGCTGGCCATCACTGGACTAGGCATCTCCAATTTCACGTCACTAAACTCGATGTTCAGCTGTTCTGAGCGAAGAGCGTACGGATATCGCCAGTCCATCTAGTTGGTGGCTGCCTTTTTTTTGTGAGGTTAAAATCATCAAATGACTTCTCCTGCCCAGGGTTAGGCGGAAAGGATTATCGGACATTTACTACTGCCTAAAAACCCTCCCGTTCCTTCTCCTGCTCTGTGCCGAGGTCGCGGTGACTCATTGCGCTTACTCCGCAACCCCACTGAACATCAGCTCTATAGGGCCCCGTCTGTGGTGGTCTATTGGCACTTTGAGGCGCGTGCGGAACGCTACGTGCCATACGCTCGGGTCTGGTTCTGGTCGGGCGGCGAGCTTACTCGAGTTTGTGGCTGCCTTGCCATTGTCGTTTGTCTTGACGTGGTCTCCACTCTTGAACACGTCCACGACAATGGTCATCGGTACTTCGACAAAAATGACCCGCCCACTGGCATTTCAGTTTTCTAATCATTTGGGCTATGTCGGTAACTTTAGTTCTCTTTCGGATCAATTCGTTTCGAATTCGATACTTCCGAGAGACACCAAGCATAGCCTATTCCAAAGCTCTCTGCGACTTGAGGTACTTTTTAACAACACTTACATTTACTTACTTATTCAAAAGTAATAACACTGTCACAGTCCATACATCAATATCTTGAAGAGCCCTGTTTTGGCACGAACGAGCCGGCTCGACCGGAGTGATACCTTGGCCTCACAAAATAGTCGTGTTAGTGAGGTTGCCAGAGGCCCTATACTCCCTGCTCTACCACCAATCTCAATCCTTAAATTCCTAATAACCCACAAAAGACTAGCAACGCACTTGTAACGTCTGTGGTGAAACGAGTGTCCACAGTTGTTACCATCAGTTGATCCAACTGCTCGTCGTCGCCTACCTAACCATCTATACTAATATTACAAAGAGGTAAAATTTGTAAGTTTGTATGTAGGGGGTAATCTTTGGAACCGCTGGTCGAATTTCCAAAATTCTTTCACTAATAGATAGCTACAATATTCCTGAGTGCTATAAAACATCACGCTACGATTAAATGGAACCGGGCAGCTGGTGAAACCGCGCGAGAGTAGCTTCTTATAATTCTTAGATAACTGAGGATTTAACAATATGGTACTTTTGCCGACCACTTAAATTCAATCTTTATCAAAAATGCAGTTTTTCCATCTTTCCATGTATTTTGTATGAGATCGCAACATCTAATCATCAATCGATGATGATAAATGCCATGATCCAAAAACGCCAAATAAATAAGTAAGGATTACAAACATTTTCGTTGGAAAATGGTGCAATACCGTTATGTATTTTATAAGCACGTATGTAAGCTATATGTGTGTGCATTATATGCATACATCACTAATCCGGCACAAACATTGAAAACGTTTTTGCTGGCGTCGTGCGTAACTTTCATATATCACCAGTCGTACCGAGTATTTTTTATTATATCATTCATTTTTAGTTACTCGTATTAAATTTTACATATCGGAATCAAAAGTAATCTGAAATTGCTTGAAAAAACCACAGCGATTTGTTCCGTCGTGTGACGGCGGAGGTGACCTGACACCCAATCTTTTTATCCCTCCCCACTTCCAGAGTGTGCGAGGTGACCTGAGTCCTTATCCTTCAAATCCCCTCTAGTCTCCCCAACCCGTAAATCCAAACAACTTAGAGGACTGGCAACGCACTTGCAACAGTTAACTCCTCTGGTGTTCGCGTGTACATTGGCAGCGGCCGGCCTTTGCTTATTTTAGTTAGTGCCTTGAAATGTTTCATAAATTAAAATGGATTAGTTTGTGCCTCTTATACGTCCAAAAAGATTTTAGATATTAAAGATTTAGTTAACGCAGTCTTCTCAAATTGCTCTATACCTACTTATATCGAAAGCATTATTAAGCAATACAGTAGTTTCAAACTAGTCAAATTCACTACTTTTAACCAAATTTCAAAAACGATTCTTTTCTATGAAATTTGTATGAAACACTGAGTTATGACATCATAGTATTTTTGCGTCAAATAGCTTACTTATTTCTTAAAAATTGGCAAAAAAAATATCTAAAATTTAGTGTATCGATCGATCAATGAATAAAACTTTAGTTACTTTTCGATATTTGGTTGTATTGAAACGTCGAATTAATTTATTTTTAACCTAGGAAACTACCCAATACAGCTACCAAACTCCTAAAACACGAAAATAAACAATTTGTTTGCATTATACACTCAATGTTAGACCAAACGTTTTTGAAATAAGATTGTCAGTCGTGCAATGCATACTAGACAAACCGAAAACTGACCATTCTAAGTTGACCTCCAGTAACGTTACAATTTCTCCTAAACCGTCTGTTGTTTGCGCATTAGAGGTGGGAATAGGGATCAAACTGTAGTGGTGGTTCATACAGAAGTGCTTTGTTAGTTCGTGCATAACACAAGACTAACTATGCGTTGGAACAAAGATGTACTATTTTCATTTTAACACTGGTGTTTTTCCTGTGGGATGGAATTAAAAATGTACCTAATACTTCATGCACAGCCACCTCAATCTGTCACATTGTTTTTTATTATGTTTTGAACTGAATAAGCTTTGGAATAAAAGTTTAAATGATAAGAAAAATGGATAACCTAATTTTTTTTTATAAAGTAGTTGCCCCACACTATTATTTTCTCGTGTGTAGTGGACACCCAGACCCGGAACAACAATTAGTGGATTAGTGGATAGAAAGAGTTTTTCCGTGCGGGAAACGAACCCACGACACGTTTCACGGCAGCCAATTGCCCAGCCACCGCACAATTATTATTAGTGTGTTGAAGATTGAATTGATCTGAGTGTAATAATATGGCGTATAAGATTGAATTTTTTAATAATCTTATATGGCGTATAAGATTGAATTTAAAGTTCCCTAAAATCGGAAAAGGAGGATCCTCCGACCAGGCGAGGTGATAAGTATAGCGGACTACTACCCAATAGTTGAACATTGGGATTTTCGATTTGCGTTTATTCATTTCACTTGCGCAATGTTAGGACTTATGACGCCATCTGTTGAATATTATTGTTACTATGTGCGTCGCCAGAAATTCTTATCTCGTAATTTTAGAAGGAGAAACCATATTAAAACTCGTTTAAATTTCGAAGAATCGAGAGCCTCGGTCACCTTACTACTATAAGTTTACTTGGGACTAGCGAAACACCTACACTAATTGATATTTTCTCCCTTTCATAAGTGGGCAAAAGAGCAGACGGATTACCTGGTGGTAAGCAATCAGCTCCGCCCACGGACACTCATAATACCAAAGGAGTTAGTTAGTAAAACCTCTTGTAGGTTATAAGGGATAGAGGATTTGAGGATTTAGGATAGGAGGGGTAGGATTGGGCCTCCGGTAACCTCACTCACGGCGAAACACAATGTAAATGTCGCTCCAGTTTTCTGTAAGGCCGTGGTATGACTCCAATCGAGCCAGCCTATTCGTACCAAAGCATGGCTCTCCCACACTTAAATTGGCCTTATAAAAAACATTTTCGGGATGTCAGTAGCCTTTAGCGCCGTCCGGCACTGTCTACCTACTGACCGCAAAATTTATTTTGAACAACAAATTAATAAAAATGAACTTTATTTCCACGCTGACTCATCCTCATTACATATCTTGACCCCTGTTGTCATTTAATGATAACCTCAGTATTTCACGAGGATTTCGTAATTCTTAATACCTATTTATAACTAACTAGCTTACGCCCGTGGCTTCACTTGCGTATCAAAGTATTTTAAAAACAGATCATGGGATTTTAAAAACAGCAGTATTTAAAGCGATTGCTCGACTAAAGCGAATCAATCTATACTAATATTATAAAGAGGTAAAATTTGTAAGTTTGTATGTTTGTAAGTTTGTATGTAGGGAGTAATCTTTGGAACCGCTGTTCGGATTGCCAAAATTCTTTCACTGATAGATAGATAGCTACTACAATATTCCTGATTGCTATAGGCTATAAAACATCACGCTACGATTAAATGGAGCCGAGCAGCAGGTGAAACCGCGCGCGGCGAGAGTAGCTAGTAATCAATATAGCACTCACGATCATTGTAGTAGCTATCTATCAGTAAATTAATTTTGGAATAAAAAACTTACCTTTTTATAATATTAGTGTAGATAAAAAAAATAAAGCTTACTAATACGTCGAAAAGTTTAAACGTGTATTACTCTTACACCGCTGAACAAAATAGAATAACCTTGTTTTAGCACCGTTTTGGAACCTCCGACAAGAACGAAATGAAAGGAAACTCCGACTAATTTTCCGATAAAATCAAAGGATAGCATTTTTTTATGTAATATGTCGGCAAACGAGCAGGCGGTTTACCTGATGGTAAGCAATCAGCGCCGCCCATGGACTCCCGCAACGGAGGAGTTACGAGTGCGTTGCCGACCTTTTAGGGATTAGGGATTTGGAGATTTAGGAATTGAGGAGGGATTGGGGGAGAGGAAGGATAGGGCCTCCGGTAACCTCACTCACACGGTGAAACACAACGCTGTGGTTGTTTCACACCGGTTTTCTTTAAGGCCGTGGTTTCACTCCGGTCGAGCCGACCCATTCGTGCCGAAGCTTGGCTCTCCCACACTTATATCAGTTAGCATCCGTGCAAATTTGGAATGAGGAGTACGTACATTTTGAAACAAAAAACATTAATCTTCCTTATACATACATATTATTATTATAATCAACTTATTTACACAAAATATACAAATTTATCAATTTTAGTCATTTAATATCCATGTTCTTGGTAACCTCCGTGATGTCCATGGTGTCCATGACCATGGCTTCCAGAGCTGTGTCCACCAGATCCATAAGCGTTGTTAGGTCCGGATCCTCCGAATCCACCAGTGGAACCGAAGCCATTGTTGTTGTGACCTCCAAATCCACCCTGAGGTCCACCTTGACCTGGTCCAAAACTACCGTTGGGTCCTACAATACCTCCTTGAGGAATGTTAGAACCAGGTTGTGGGAAACCTTGGGCTCCTTGACCAAAACCACCCTGGCCAAAACCACTTTGGCCGTAACCTCCTTGGCCGTGGCCACCCTGGTTGCCGCCGAAGCCACCTTGACTGCCGCCGTAACCACCCTGGTTGCCTCCGTAACCACCTTGGCTACCACCCTGGCTACCACCGTAACCACCACCTCCACCGTAGTGGGGAATTCCTGTAAATAAAATGGAAGACAATATTAAATAAGAATTATGATGAAGGAATATTTTTTTTTTTTGAGGGTTTCCTACGTAGTCCGTATTAATTGCAGGATTTGAAATGGAAGGTCCGGGAGAAATACAATACCGCGGCCGTGGCCTGGAGCATGAAAGGTCGGACTGATTTTTAGTCAGTAAGAGTCTGACATTCTCTCTCGTCCAACCCTTAGCGGGAGAGGTCATTTGATGATTTTACCCACGCACGCGTGATCAATACTCGCACCCTATAACATTATTATTTATAACAGCTTTAATGAAACTTAAGTAGATTTTGCTCATGGTACAATTAACTAAATAAACTTTAACGGCCAAAGCTGAGTCTCTTCTATAAGTTGGTAGCATTGTTTATAAGAATATTATCAATAACTAGATAAAATAGTTTTTATTACCACTAAAATTTCGTCACATCGTGATATTTCAGCCGAATAACATTTATCAACTGAAAGAGGCATTCAAGAGTGTATTTTAAGATATATCCTTTAATTACTTCTCCGCATTTAGAATTAAAATATCATTGATAGATCAAAAACGCGTTTTCAAATCAAAAGAAACATGGGCCTGAAACAACCACAGCGTTATGTTTCGCCATATGAGTGAGATTACTAGAGACCCAATGTTTTCCTTCCTGTAATCCCTAAATCTTTCAAACCCTTATCCCCAAAAGGTTGGCAACACAATCGTCAGGCCTCCATTGTTGTGGGTATCAGGTAATTCGTTAGCTCGTTTGCCCTATCATATAAAAAAGGATGACTGACTGTCGGTATTTTATTTCAGTTTTTTTTCGTATTTGGTCAGGCTCATACACTGAATATAACAATATTTAAAATTCAACCAACTTATCGCAATTGTTTATTAAACCAATTAATTAAATTATAATCGGAAGAGCAAGTGTTATCAAAGTTTATGTTAGAATATGTTTATATTTTTCAAGTGGAAGTTGTTTTTATTTATTTATATTAAAATGATGAAATTACAATTTTAGTAGACACGTGAGTTTTATCATTTAGAGGAATCAATTCACGTGTGATTCAGAGCTAACGAACTGTATTCAGTTGTCGTTAAAATTGCGACCTTTTATATGGATAAAAGGTCGCAATTTTATATAGTTCATGGGAACTATATAGAATAATAATATAATATTAAGAGACCCTCCGCTTTTCAATTCAATTTTAGCCGCTATTTGATATTTTTATGAATACCTAGCTACCAGTCTAGTCGCGCGGTTCTACCCGCACCTCGGCAGCTACAAGTCATAGCAGTGATATGTTATAGCTTATAGCTACACACAAAAAGGATTGATCTATTCGAATCGGCAGTTCCGAAACTAAGCACATTCAAACAAACAAAAAACTCTACAACCTTATAATATTAATATAGCTGCAATAATTCTAAAAGTCACTAAGTCCGACTCAGATTTCGGAACTGATATCCTTGGCTCAAGACAGCGTTTGCTATGCACTAACAAGGCTTAAATGAAAACCTTGATTTCTTAGCCAAATAAGGATTTGATGTGAAACAGATGTTCAATAACATACCGTAGCAGGTAACAGCTAACGCCAGAACCAAGCACGCGAGCTGGAAGAGAAAAAAACATTAAATATCTAAGAGTCATCAGACAGAGCTCATTACGGCCTCTTCTATCATGCATAACGGAACAAGGCCCTGGTCTGGAGCAGGAGAAGGAAAAGAGTATTTTAGTCAGTAAGAGTTTGATACTCGCCCTACACAAAGCAAGCCATTAGACAAATTTGAGAAATATCTATTCATAAATGCCAAAATAGTAAGTCTAAGTGTGGGAGAGCCATGCTTCGACACAACGTAACATACTAAAGTGCACGAATGGGTCGGCTCGACCGGAGTGATACCACGGCCTGACAGAAAAACGGCGTGAAACAACCACAGCGTTGTGTTTCGCCGTGTGAGTGAGGTTACCGGAGGCCCAATCCTTCCCCTTCCCGGACCCTTCCCCAATCCCTAAATCTCCAAATCCCTAATCCCTAAAAGGTCGGCAACGCACTCGTAACTCCTCCGTTGCGGGTTTCCATGGGCGGCGTTGATTGCTTACCATCAGGTAATCCGTCTGCTCGTTTACCGATTTATTACATAAAAAAAAAATTGAAAAATAAAAACACAACGTTATGTTCCTATTTCAATTAACTCACATCCATCGACGAATATCAATACTTTTTTGAAATGACATTCAAAACACCACTAATATACTACAAAAATTTAAAAAAAGAAATACTCACTTTGAAAGCCATCTTGTTGAGATATAAGGATTAACTCTGACTATAATTCCGATGTGTATGCTGAATAGTTTTAAAACATTACTTTATATATAACTCGTTATCAGTAACAATTTGTGCGTCTGACCCCACCGAGATGTTCTCTGAACAGATAAACATACATCCTATATTACTATAGTTATAAACAATAACAAAAGTGTTATCATAGTTCCATATTTTATTTACAAACACAGCTTGTACGCTCTCAATACTCCATGTTCTTAGAACATGACAAAATTTTAATTATACAACGGCCAGTTCTTGGAACGGTTACTGATTTGGTATGAACAATAAGGAAAATTCGGTGGGATACCAATTTATAGTTATTCAAATGTTACTTATTCTAAACTACGAAACTACGATTACCAGGAATTTTATACTTGACATCACACCATCAGCCTTTAAGTGCCCACTGCTGAGCAAAGGCCTCTTCCCACGCATAGAAAGAAGGTTTGAGAATTAATCACCGCGCTTGCTCAAGGCGAATTGGTGATTTCAAAGTTATATATTATAAAAAGTATAAGTCCAGGTTTCCTGACGATGTTTTCCTTCACCGTATGCCAGTGGTACCGTAACGTAATATACATATAACTCAGAGAAAGTTACATTGGTAGAGGAAAGTAACCAAATATGGAATACCATTTTGATGATGCCCCAGTATGAAATTTTCTCTTAAGCACAGTATCCCATATTGAGAGACTATTCCATGTTTGGTGACTTTCTTCTACTTGTTGGGTTTCGAACACGCACCCTCATCATTTTATACTAAACTTGTCTTAATAAGTTTTATTATATTTCTATATCTTTTCTCGATATATTAACTATCCATTTTTTTTTTATGTAATAGGTCGGCAAACGAACAGATGGATTACCTGATGGTAGGCAATCAGCGCCGCCCATGGACACTCGCAACGGAGGAGTTACGAGTGCGTTGCCGACCTTTTAGGGATTAGGGATTTGGAGATTTAGGGATTGAGGAGGGATTGGGGAAGGGGAAGGATTGGGCCTCCGGTAACCTCACTCACACGACGAAACACAACGCAGTGGTTATTTCACGCCGGTTTTCTGTGAGGCCGTGGTATCACTCCGGTCGAGCCGACCCATTCGTGCCGAAGCATGGCTCTCCCACACTTAAAAACATTATTTTTGTATTGTAACTATAGTAAATACTAAAAATATACTAAGTTTATTGTAAACCAAGTCAATCAGTCGGCTACACGACAAACATCCTGCTCATGTTTAAAAAGTCGCATTATGACTTGAAACAAGTAGAATTTTACTCAGTTAAAATAGGTGAATTAGTGGTTTTTTAACCCAAAAAGAATTGTTCAAATCGAACCAGTACTTTTTGAGATAAAGTCATTCAAACAAACATACTCTTCAGCTTTTTAATTGTATAATACATAGTAACGGTACAGATTCGTACAATAAAGTATTTTTACCAGAAAAAAATAACAGCACTGACAGAAAGAATTCAGAAAATAAGTATCGAATCGGAGAAATCGGCTTTAATTACACATCGTAAAATATTAAAATAAAATCCAACAGGAGTTAAAACATTACGTACTCGTAAATTCTTGAATAAATAGGTTCACATTTCCAATAAGATTTCATCTTCCCCAAGGTAACGAAACTATTCAAACATTTTTAAAGAATACATACGTTGAGCGGCTGACTTAGTTCTTCGTTTTAATGCTTATCCAAAATATTATCTAAAATTTTCTTCACATCTGCGACAATATTTTTACGTCCCTCTAAAGAATTCTGATCATTTCTTCCACTGTGAAGATTATTTTGCTCTTTATTGGGTACAACAACTACATGTACAACAGTGTTTACCGTACCTGCATCAGTTTCATTAAACGCTGAAATATGAATTCCAACTGAACCATCAGGTAAATTCTGCATTTCTGCGCCAGCAGGACCTCTATTATGCATGGTATTTAGTTGATTCCTATTAGGATGTTGGTTATTAAAACCTGGGCCGTATCCACCTTCATTCCTTGGATGCGGGATACCTATTGGATTTAAAGGACTGCCAACGAACCCACGTCGAACAATAGGGTTGACGAATCCACCCGGACGTATAGCCCTAGGTATAAAACCGCCAGGACGTCCAGGGTTCCTAAAACCATCCTGTGGGAATCTTGGTACAAAACCATTGGTTCTAAATCCACCAAGATTGCCCATATGACCATGTCCTGGATTAAATAATCTATCTGGAAAGGGTGCTCCTGTGTTATATCTGTTTGGACCAGCATGAATAAAACCATTGGGATACGGTGGGTTTACAAATCCATTTTGGGGAAAGTGTCCGAACTGACCAGAAAGTACATCCCTCCTAAGCCAGTTTCCTCGAAAGCCAGGAGCAACGGTTGGTTGGATTTGGTTGAAATCAGGTGAACGTTGGTATCGAATTAATGGCACCGATTTTATCAGGGAGTCAGAGACCATATTTTGTGGTGGTGTAGCTTCTTCCACTTTACTTGTAAAGTTGTCATCTGCTGCAGTGTTTTGTAAACCTGCAAAAATATTGACTTCTATTAGTATTCTAATTAAAACAGAACTATCATTGTCAGTGAAGGAAAGGAATACGTAACTGAAGATATACATATAAGTACATATTAAAAAAAGTAACATGCTAAAGTTGGAGTAAGGTATTTTTCAATGGACGGCAGACTAGGCTAGTTGATTGTAACCAATGATGTATAAAACTATAGATACGTTGTCCGCGCTCTAAAATGACAACATGAAATGAAGGCAATTGACAACATCGCGCTTAGTTACGCACCAACCTGCCGCGCGACGCTACGTTTGTTTTTAATTTATATCGTGTGTGTAAACCTGTGCGAAACATAAAGAAAGCATGCCGTCGTGTGTGTTCAGACGATGTACAAATTATACTCCAAAAGTTAAAGACAAAAATGTGTCATTTCATGCGTAAGTTCACCAAACAACCTATTTTTATTTTATTTTTTCGACGCCGGCGCCCGCCATCTTATGGCGGCCGGCGCATGAAGGTATAGTCACGTGCCGATGTAACTGAAGATGTATATTTATCTCCCTCTAGCAAAGGCATTCCACTATACGATGTCATATTTTCTTTCCCTTTCTTTACTCGTAGAAGTAGTTATCTAGTATTTTCGCCGTTTTTAAGCGCCGCGATGTTGGTTCATGACGTGTCTATATATAATACGTCATTGATTGTAACCTTCAGCGCCACCAAGAGTTACAAGTGCGTGTCAACCTCTTGGGTATTAGGGTTTTAGGGATTTAGGGATTGGGGAGGAATTGGGAGAAGTTACCTTTCAACATAATTATACAAAAAATAGGGAGATAGGCCCTATGGCAAAGATACGAGTTCATATACGTTTACTTAATAATAAATATCACTTACTGGTACAAGTCGCCACCAGGGCCAGTAATAAATACATTATCTGTGGACAAAACGTTAGAAATTATTTTAAAGATTACACATTGAATAGGTTTAATATTAGTTTTTAAGTAAGACAGTTTTAATAAAATCACCATTTGTTTATTTTTTTTACAATCACCGACACTGAATATTCATCCCCTTGAAGAATAAAAGCTTATTGTTTTTAAACATTCAAATATACGTATCACTGTACATGTGTAAACGACACTACTGTAAGTTAATTGTCATCCTAAAAGATAACTTATTACCCAAAGAAGAAGGTGACCTATTATTTACACAACATTTATTAACATAAGCGCATACTGGCAATGAACAATAAAATTAGGAGAAAGGAATTTTAGCATTGGTCAAACCTACAACAGAAAATTATAAAAATTCGATTTTTAAAATCAGCTAATAAAAAACATTTTATAAAGTTATTACCTATACAGTAACTACTAGCGTCTCTTATCGCCTTACTCGGGTACTGAAATAATTTAGGAATTAAGCGCTTAAACACATTTCGAAGATCCATTTTAATAAATATAAAATTACTAGATTATAAAATTACTCAGAACTTATGTGTACTACATCAAAATATTGCAGGATTACTGAACAAATGTGATTCAATCTCGGTGATCTTAGACGAACTACTAGATGAAAATATTGATGTCGATGTTTTGTGTTTCACCGAACACTTTATCATGTCAGGACATGAGCCACTGTTGCATATTCAGGGCTATCAATTGGCATCATGTTTTACCCGAATGGAAAGCAAGAGAGGAGGATCATGTATACTCGTCAAAAATGGTCACCGGTATAGGGAGTTAAATCAAATCTCCAAGATGTCTGTAACTGGGGTAATCGAATGCTGCGCAATAGAACTGACCGACTATAGAATAGCTTTGGCATGTGTATATAGGGTTCCTAAATTTAACAATTTCAGTATATGTATCGAAAAATTACAAACAATGTTGCAAATACTATGTAAAAATCATTATGCTAATATTATAATAGCAGGTGACTTTAATGTGGACCTACTAAAACCAAGTAAACAGACCTTGGATTTTGAATGTGTATTTATAAACTTTAATTTAAGACTGGCAGTCAGTCAACCAACTCGTTTGAAAAGTCAAACATGCATTGACAACATTGCCCATAACTTTAATAAGAAAACTTTTACTCAAGTGCGCGAATTAGGTTTATCTGACCACACAGCACAAATATTCAACTTTCCTGTCAATACAAAATTGAATAATAGGTATTGGCGAGTCACTAAAAAAGACTATTGTGAAGAAAATATAAAAAAATTTAAAAACTGTTTAAATAGCATATCATTCTCGAATATGTATGAAACCGCTGATCCTAATATAGCTTACAATTGTTTCTTAGATACATTTACTTTGTACTATAGATTGTGTTTTCCTCATGTAACTAGAGTTGTTAACCTTGTAAAAAAACCTAAATGGATATCTCGCGGTATAAAGATATGCAGTAAAAAGAAACGCCAATTACTATGGCAATATAGGCATAAACAAAATAAAACAAATGAAAAAAGTTTTGTAGACTATGCTAAAAGACTAAAGTTAATAATTAAACTTACTCGGAAGGCACAAAATAACTATTCAATAAAAACTTCTTCATGTAAATCTAAAGCTACATGGAGAATAATTAATGATTCAAAGCTTAACATACCTAGGGACATAATAAGAAAAATTCAAATTGAAGAGAACATAATCACGAAGCCTCGAGACATAGCAAACGCTTTTAATAAATACTTTACAGAAAAAATAACACCTATTAATAAGTCGTCTGGAAATGTAACATCTCTAATAGACAACAGACTCAATTCTTTCTTTTTGGCTCCTTGTGTACCTGTTGAAATACATAAGATAATAAACACATTGAAAAATACTCATAGTGAGGGATATGACGGTATTTCAACAAAGGTCATAAAAGCTGTAGCCCACGAAATCTGTACACATCTGTCCTACATTATAAACCTATGCATAGATGCTGGCACCTTTCCGGAAGCACTTAAAATAACAATAGTGAAACCTCTATTCAAAAAGAGAACAGGGAACATATGCAATACTACCGACCCATCTCCCTTATAAGTGTACTATCAAAAATATTTGAAAAACACATATATAGACATTTATACAGCTATCTGGAGAAAAATAATATACTTACTCCAGAACAAAAGGGTTTTCGTTCTAATAAAACAATAAATATGGCTATTTATGACTTTATGTATAGAGTAATAACAAATGTTGATAAAACCACTCCTGTTAGCACCATATTTTGCGATATGACACAAGCATTTGACTATGTCTGTCATAACACTTTGATTAAAAAATTGGAAGCTTATGGTATCCGAGGTAACGTATTGCGTCTCATAGAATCATACATTAGGAACAGAAAACAGTACACAGAAATAACCTCAATAAATACACACACAAAACAAGAAGAAATTTATAGATCATCTTGTCGTGTTATCAGATACGGTGTACCCCAAGGCAGTGTTTTAGGTCCTTTACTATTTATTATTTATATCAATGATCTACCCAAAAGCATTGACCAATACGTGACTTTATTCGCCGATGATAGTACAATAACTATACATGTAAAAATAGAGATACCTATAACGGAAACATTAATGATTCGCTAATGTCTATGATACAATGGTTAGAAAACAATAATTTAAAAATCAATTTGGAAAAAAACCAATATTATGCACTTTACACAGAGAGGATCAACCATGTCTAACCTACATATACACTACAATAATAAAATAGTTAATGAAGTTGACAACGCAAAATTCCTGGGTGTAATCATAGACAAAAAACTAAATTGGAAAGCACACACAGAATCACTAACAAAAAAATAAGTAAATCTTGTTATGCAATTTATAAATTAGTTCCAGTGCTCAACATTGACGCCCTCCTTACAGCATACCATGGTTTAGTTTCATCGAATCTAAGATACGGCATTATATTTTGGGGAAATTCTACTAATAAAGAATTAGTATTCAAAGCCCAAAAGCGTTGCTTGAGAACTATGTTTAAGCTGAAGGTCACCGATAGCTGCAAGCAATTTTTCATAAAATATAAAATACTGACTGTACCCTCTCTTTATATCTTAGAAAGCGCAATGTTTATTAAGAACAATCTAACCCTGTTTCCACGTCTAAGTGATACGGTTGTTCGTAATAGACGCGATAATAGCAAAATTAGATTGATTTATTCAAAAACTAGCTTAATGAATAACAGTATATGTTGCATGGGCCCAAAAGTTTACAATAAAATTCCTAAGCTTTGGAAAGAATACAACACAAACATTTTCAAAAATAAATTAAAAGATTTTCTCACCAATAAAGCCTACTATAGCATTAAGGATTTTCTACAGGACCACATAGACTAACATTACACACTTTATTTTTCAAAACTATTTGACATTTAATTTTAAAGACATGAATTGTATTGACTAGTTTTATATTGATATATTATTCGTATTATTTATTGATTGACATACACATTTCTGACATTTCATTAAGCAATTGACGAAACGCGGAATGGACATGATGGTTCTTGGGCTTGTTGTGGCTGCATGTATGACTGATTAATTTGATTGATTTGTGAATTAATGACTAATTAATGATACATAAATGAAAGTATTTTTTGCCTAATCTATTGACTAATATTGAATTTGATTAGTATATACAATTTGGCTGAGACATTACCAATGTTTGCATGCCCAATGGGTAGAACAAAGAGATATATGTAACTTATATAAATACCACCTTAGTCAATATGTACTACACCTTTGTTCAGCAAATAAAGTTATTTTGATTTTGATTTTGATTTTTTGACTAGTCTTCCGGCCCGGATTCGTACAGGTGTAATATTGATAATAAATTTCTCCACTGTTTAATGGATCTTTATTATTCATATAAACCATCATATTCTATCACTCACCCCGAACGAACGCCGGCGTTCACGCACCTATTTTGTCTCGAATCATCACGTTTGAAAAGCTAATAAACTCACATCAAAATCCATTGCGTAGTTTTAAAGTTTTAATTAAGGATCTATGGCAAAAAAGTGACATTGTATGTTGTGTATACGTTATACGAAGTGATACCTAACTATGAAATTAATAAAATAAGTTTTTCAAGCTTACCTTGGCGGCCATTTCGTATCGACAGTGAACTTGAAGTGAAATACTGGTGATGTAAAATAACATTATTTATAAATTACACTTATCGTTCATTCCCGACAATGTCCTGTCGATAAACACAGGGACAAACTTACAGACCTCAGCCAAGACTAAATAAATATCGACACTAAAATTATATTTTAATGTGGTAAAATACTTTCTGTTTTTTTTAGGAATTTCTCCTGTGTCGTGGGTGCAGTTACAAACATACAATTTCACATACACATGAAAACCAGACCCGGTACAACAACATGTTGTTCCGTCCGGGAATCGAACCCGTTACACGTTGCACGGCACCAAGCCACCGCACCAACCAGGCAGTCAATTGGGATTCTACTTTTTAAACCTTCATTAACTTTAATCAAGCAGTACCATGCCAGCGTAGTCGTACCCTAAATAGAGATCAGGAAAGCAGATATTTAAGTTGTTTTCTTTATTTTATAAAGTACCTAGCATTTTCAAAACAAGGCTTGGATACTAAATAAGCAAATATATTTCATCCCTTTTTTATATTTGTTTTTAATCTAATTCGTAATTTACAATTTAGTGATAAGAAACCTCAATATCGATTTGTACTAGTCTATAAGGATGTTGTTGAGAATAAATAAACAAATGTGGGAGATCCATTCCTCCACCTCCTCTGCGGGAGATCCATTGACATAATAACACGGCCTCATAGAAAAGCATTACGAAATAACCATAGCGTTATGTTTTGCCGTGTGATTGAGGTTATTGAAGGCCTCCTCAATCCTTAAATCCCCTAACCTCCTTATTTCCATAAGGCCGGCAAAGTACTTGAAACTCCTCAAGTATTGCGTTTCGGATTACTTGATTTAAGTAAGATATAAAGCGCCGCTTATGGACACCCGTCCAGGTAATCCGTATGCTCGTATACCGCCGTATATAATAAAAACGAGTTGGAATATACGTAATTCTGTATATTTAATAGGTTTCTTAATGTACCCTTCTCTCTTCTGTTTCGAACAAATTCCATAAGCAAGTGACAATACCTTTCCACATTACCTACCACAAAGTTATGCAAGTTTTTTCTTTAAATAACCGGTCTTGTTCAGTTGTATGTAGATATTTATACACCTACTCAAAATAACGCCAGAAGAAAAGCAAAAGACAGATCTTGTACGAGAACATAAAAATTAATTGTTGTTCATTAGTCTCCATAAAACCCTAGAACAACTGGATGGTATGGACTTCGCCGGATAAGCTAGTTTTAAAAAACCCGTTTTTTTTTTATGTAATAGGTCGGCAAACAAGCATAACCTGATGGTAAGCAATCAGCGCCGCCCATGGACACTCGCAACGGAGGAGTTACGAGTGCGTTGCCGACCTTTTAGGGATTAGGGATTTGGAGATTTAGGGATTGAGGAGGGATTGGGGAAAGGGAAGGATTGAGCCTCTGGTAACCTCACTCACACGGCGAAACACAACGCAGTGGTTATTTCACGCCGGTTTTCTGTGAGGCCGTGGTATCACTCCGGCATTTTTCAATAAGCAGTAACGTAAAACGGGTTCTTCCTCTCAATCCCTTTGTAAATACGGTCCTGTTCACACAATATGTTGGTTCATCACATTCAATAAACTATTGCATTGTTTTTTGATATGACGTACTTCCCAACTGGACTTTCTGCAAAATCAGAATTACCCAAGCTATTTGTTTATAGAATAGTTATTGTACTTATACATTTAGTAAAATCAATTTCTGTCAATCAACTAGTACTTTACCGTGATGTTTAATTGGTGTATTTTCATTCTCAACTTTTGAGTAAATATCATCCAGTTAAAATGTTATCTATATCTAAAAAAGACAAAAATCATTTTTTTAAACTAAACTTTAAACTTACAACACAACTTACTTTTGAAACCACAAAATAGAACTGAACAATAGTCCGTCAATCTGCTCGTCAGTAAAGTGCTCATTCCAAATTAAAGATTCGAATGGAGAAGAACGAGAAAAAATATTAAATAATATATATTACCATTTAGTTAATATTTTACTATGATTAATACTGTTGTTCTTTTAATTAGATAGATGTTAATTTAATTAGTTCTAGTTTGAATTTTTATATATTTTGACTGTATAAACGCATAATTTTTAGAATGTTGGTTAGCTCGTAACTGGCTAATGTATATGACCTACTGCCTACCAATACTTTAAACCACTTGTATACATAAGTTGTGAGCGTACCTTATAATAAATAAATAAATGTGTAATTGTTCGGGAATCCATCAGCATGTACCATGTAGACCCGCAACACCAGAGGAGTTACGAGTGATTTGCAAGATGTAAGGATTAGAGAGAGATGGAGGGAGAGGAAGGATTGGACCTCCGGTAACGTCACTTACATAGTGGAACACAACACTGTGATTGATTGACACCGATTTTCTGTGGGGCCTGGTATCACTCCAATCGAGCCGATCCATTCATGCCGAAGCATGACTCTCCCACACTTAAAGGGGCCACACGGGCACCTTCGTTAGTTCGCCTGCCTATACTTGTGGGCGAGCATCTCCTTGTGAATGGATATCATGTGCTACGATTGCTGGAGCTTCCTGGATTCAAGCAACATTTGCACTTGTTCTAAATTTAAACGCCTGTTTGACAACCGTCATATTATAAGTTCCCGATAAACTTAATAGTTCTGTAGTTCGTGCATATTTCGTTTCAAAATTAAATTCATCTTTTGCATACCGGCTAGTCATCGTAAAACAGGTCCTTAACCCTTAATTATATTCGCATGGCAAGCAATGGTTATAAAAAAAAGTGAGTAGAATTATATGAACAGTAAATATACAGTAGTCTTCCGATCAAAATCAACTCGCTTTTTTAAATATCGTTTTTGATATTTAAGACTTAGAGCTGATTTTTCAACGGTTAGATAAAAGTTACCTGTTCAACTCGCTTTAATAAATATTGTTTTTGTTATTTAAGACTTAGGGCTGATTTTTCAACGGTTAGATAAAAGTTACCTGGGGAATAATTTTGATGCTCTCGCGTCAGAATTATGTATAAAACAGTGAAAGCAACAATTTTATTCCTTCCTCATATTACATTATCTGACTATTGAAAAATCAGCCGTTAGTGACATAATTATCTTTATTTGTGTCTGATGTCATACTCCATTTTCGTCTGGAATTATGTTAAAACATGAATTTATTCATTTTGTTACATTTATTGATATTGAGGAAAGTATACCCAGATTATTATTTATTAAAACTTAATAAACATTATTTACCACCCGATGACAAGCTAACTAACCAAAAACCAAAACATCGAAAATATAAATCAAGCGAATATCTGGTCGAAACAAGTTTACAAAGTGTAAAACATTCCGGTCGGCTTGCCGAGCCCTTCAGGGAACTTTTGCAATATATTTTATTATCTTACTATTTATCCTTTCCTGTTTTTGAAGGTTCCGCCGCAGTGGCACGAGTCTTGTAAGATTGGAAGCCCAATTCCAGTTTCGAATGTCGGCTCCACTGCCTCAGATTGTAAATGAAGTATTGGAAGGAGAAATTTGAGATCATTTTTATGATATAGGTCGGCAGACGAGCAGACAGATTACCTGATGGTAAGCAATCAGCTCCGCTCATGGACACCCGATAACATCAAAGGAGTTACGAGTGCAGTGCCGGCCTTTATTTAAGGATTGGGAAGGGATGGAGGGAGGCATACATTATCCTAAAAGTATTTTACAATAACAGTGTACCTAGATATGTTACTCTATTACCTGTTGGTAAAATAAAGATAATAAAACTGAAGCCGCAAATATCACACTAAAGCCCTGTCCGCACTAGAGCGGAACAGATGCATTTTTTTTAATTTTTTTGTTATTCTATTACGGTTTTGGCCACGTATTTTCGCAATGGTCACCGCTGTGGTAGGTACTGCCGATTTATAGCCCTTAAAAAGGAAAAAAAACCTTATAAATCTATAAATGAGTAACGGTGTTTTTGAAATCCTTAACAATAACAGAAAACATAGTAAGAAATAAAGCTTGAAATTCCAAACGACTGCTTTTCAAATATCTCTTAACCGAGTATATTACTAAACGCAGCCTATTATATTATATTTCCTAACTCATAGTCTGGTTACACTAAAGCATAAACGCCATGTTGCCAGCCCCATAAACGCAGTTATTGCTAGGATTATGAAACGTGTTACACCCTATTGTGGTCGCTCCAGCTCTTTACTTACATTTTATTAGGAAAACTGACCTTCTCCTGTTATGGGGCCCATACAAGCGCTCATAAATTTCGTGACATTTCATAATACATATTAAACGGATTAATTTTGATGGCATTTTTATTAATTATTAGCTTAATTTTATTCGTTTCACGTTTATAATTTGAAACGTTTCTGTATCCCACAGTTCAAACTTCAAAAGCAAAAAGGCCGGTTGTCAAACCGTCACGAACTCGTGACACAAAAAAAAGCGTGGCCATGTCAGATTTAAAAATTAGAATACCGATATTTTTTTTTAATTTGTCCTTCCTCGTTCTCTTTGACTAGTACCATAATAATGAAGCTATTTAGCAAAAGCATAACAGACTTCGTTTAAAATAGAGTTTTATTTATTTAGTATGCAAAAATACAAACTATTAATTTCTTCTTTGTAGAGTACATAATGAAACTTTTTACTTACTAAATTCCTTTATTTTATGTCGGAACACTGAACATCACAATGAATAATTAAAAATGTTTCTATTAATTTGCTGCATTTTAATACTGTTTCTCATATTTTATGTTAAAAATTCTACCAACGTTTATATTGTTTAGAACTAAGCATTAAAATAAAGAGAATCATTCCTATATTTTATTATTTCATTAAGTTAATTGGATTTATTTTATGTAGAAAATTAATTAGTTGATTTTTATTCAGATTAATTTGGTTTAAAAATAAAATTCTAAAAAAACTCCACAAAAACGGTTCAGATTTCTTGCTCGTCAAAAAAACAAT